TTTTTAAGGCTGTCAGCTGCAGAGCTTAGAGGAAGTCTGCTGCTTCTATCTAACCTCCTTCACAATATATTGTTTGAGCAGCACAGCCCTGCTGACTGCTCTGAGTTTGCACAGTGGGATTATTCTGGAGAAAATCCAGAAAGGCTTTCTTACTCTAAGTCTGCCTCTAAGGGTCAAGTGTAAAGTTTTTATTTTCTTATATCATCCTGAACTGATGCCAACTTTTCGGCCATTGCCAATTAATTAGGACTTATAGCAAAAATGTCTTTTAACTACAACATATGTACTAGGGCTGAAATAATTGATCAGATTAATCAATTATTAAAATGAATATATTTATTTTCTTATAATTATATTTATTTACTTATATTGAAATTGTAAAAAAAAACTAGAAACATTTTGTATTTTAAATAAAAAAAAACATTTCCGTCTGTCAATATGCTCTATCAAGAGCTCCTCAAGTGGAAAAGTGGTTTAATTTAGTAAAAATCTTCTTTAAGGAACCTTTGGCTTAAAAATAATAAAAAATTAATCAATTTGAAATATAATTTGTTAGTTAGAGCTCAAAATGTAACCCTTATTAGGAATTTTATACATGGCCTGAATGAACGCAGCAGAAGCAGCAAAAATGTGCTTGCTGCTTCATTTTTGATGCTTGTACCAGTTTAGTTCTGACGCGCAGCTGAAGCATCTTTGCTGCTCTGGCTGCGCAGTCGAAAAGTTTTTCAGGTCTGTGCTACATTTTTATTATATTTCTATCCTGCTTTGTAATCCAGGGCTGAATCATTAGTAGCTTTGTTGAAACATCAGCTGTGGGGGAACGGAGCAGATCTCCTCTCTGCTCTGACTGCATAAGGGCCTTACAGGACGAGTAGCTGCCTGTGAGACAGTGCTGAGGGACGCAGGGAGAGACTCACAGCAGCTCTGATGCTCTCAGTAATGCTGCTTCATATAAACTCGCCAAACTTGCCAAAAACAAAGAAAAAGACACTAGTTTTGTCTCTATAGTTGCCTTTAAAAAAACAAACAAAATCAATCTCTTAAAAGGGTCTGAAAATTCCCTGCATATAAGTTGGCAACATTGAAGCTAGCAGTTAGCTTCATATATTAGCCAGAGACATAGAAGTTGTTGGTTTTTCAAAATAAAATCAATTTTAAAATTTCATGATATTTAAACTCCAATTATAATTAGTCTACAAATATTCAGAATGTTAAATCATATGCTTTAAATAGTTTTAACAGATTAATTTCACTCATGCTGAGGGTGTGGCAGCTTTTATTGTGAAGTAGCTTTGCGCGATGATTAACTACCGTATTTTCCGGACTATAAGCCGCTACTTTTTTCCCACACTTTGAACCATGCGGCTTATAAGAAGCTGCGGCTTTTCTACGGATGTTTCCTAACCACCAGAGGGGGAAGTCAAAGTTAGAAATGAAAGAATAAGGGGCTAAATTTTTATTTAGCACCAGAACATGCTAGCAGCAGACGAGAAGAAGAACAAATGTCCTGAATTCACACATTTTGACATTTATTTGCCGTGACTGAACTAAACTCATGCAGAGCGGAAATAAAGAGCTGATGAAGCCCCATCTTTCAGTAGAAGCTCTTACTGCTGCGAGCTAACAAGCTAACGGGAGCTAGCATTCTACTTCATCCCTACCCCAGGGGCAATATAAAGAGCTCCCCCTACAGGTCTTGTTGGAGACATTTAAATAGATATCAGCAGCTTATAGCCAAGGGCGGTTATTTATGTACGTTTCCAGTTTTTCAAAGTATTTAGTGATCATGGCTTATATTGAGGTGCGTTTTATAGTCGGGAAAGTACGGTACATTTATCAAAAACCCTGGTAAATTTTTATTCTTTGTTTAAATTTATTATTTCTGTCATAATTTTTAACATTGACTCGTCTTAAATGCAAATTAAAGAAGCATAATCAATACCAGATTTAAAAAAATCTTCCCAAATAACAGTAGATATCGAGGTCAAAATAACCAGCATTGGCCTTAAATAAAATATTGA